TTGTTTCTTTTTTGCATTTGCATTTAAAACTAAAACTCATTTTTCTTAAGCAAACTGAAAAACACTTAATAAATAAGGATACGTGTAATACGCCATGAGCCTTAAGTACATGAAGAGGACTTCGGATCTGAGACATCTGACTCGATCATCCAAGGGTCTTCGTGTCATAGAATTTAGTATAATATGTATCTCAAACATTTTTCAAAACTTAAAGGAGATAGATTCAAGTACCCCTCCAGGGACCACTTGAGGGATCTCCTACCAAAAACATTCAACAAATCAAACTCTCTTTTGCCTTAGGGATTTTCTTTTGAAAACCTTTTCAGGTAAGAATATGTTAGTTCCTTTCTACGACAACACGTGAGTCTCTAAAGGTCGAGCTACGGTAGAATGTGAAACTTAACATCATTCACATAAAAACATCAACAAATCAAAAAATTTGAGCCGAACTACGATGCTCTGATTCCTTCACGGGATACGTAGGCACGAGGTTTCACGACCAATGCGAGCACCCTAATAAAAACATTTTTTTTATTCTTTAGCAATTCATTCATGCATTCCCTTAACTTGTAAGAATTAGATATAACACACCTTTTGATTAGAGCAACTTGAGTGGATCCCGTTGAGTACAACAGACGTGAGGTGTGCTAATACTTTTCTCTTGTGTAATCGACTCCTGTATCTTTTCTCTTGGTCGCAAGACCTCGATGATTTCTCTTTTTCAGGTTTATTCGATGTTTTCCTTTCCCTTTTATGGGATAAATAACATTCAATGGAGGCTTCATTGTGTTTAGATATTTTTTACGGTAGCGATAATATGTTACAATAAATATGGTCTTGGTTATGAACCTAATAACAATAGTAAAATCTTTAGCAATATTTTCAATTTCTAACCAACATCTAAATGTAAAATCCTAAAGTGCAATTAATGTAATAAATATGGAAATATTGTTATGTTTTATTTTATCAAAAAGAGTCATGAAAGCAAACAAGGATATCATCCCTCCTATTTCTATAAAAATCACTGTGAACGTAAAAAGAGACAAATTTCTGCTCATAATATTCATTCAACTAACATCAAAGGACCCAACAAGATTTAGGTACCAAAGTCGAAAATTCAAATTGTGATGTGTATGTGCTTGATAACTTAAATTCAAAAGATGATATCAAAAAAATTTCTTCAAGTCACACAACTGAATAAATAAATATGTTCTTCTGTTTCACTTCTACAAGAAGAGAAATCATTTGGTAAGAGCCCCAATATTACCTTTAAATTGTTTTTTTACTAAAGTTTTATAACACAACTTACTTTTATGTAAGTTTTGTGAAAAAGGTAATAATGTACCTTTTATATACACGGTGTTTAAAAACATTGAAATAAAATCCTTTTAAAACCTCTTTTCTAAAAGATGATGAATATAGAAGAACTCATCCATATTATTTTTGTTGAACTAACTCCTAGTAAGTAGAAGTAGAGGTTGTTAATTATACAAGTATATCTGAAAGAACATCATTGATACATGATGATTAAGGGAAAGACAAATATCGAATACAATAGAAAATCTATAGTCCAAATGGAGAGATTCAAGTTGAATAAGTCAACTTAGAGAATCAATGTTTATCCAAATAATAGAGAACCATTAAGGACCATTCCATTCCGAATGCTAATGGAGATATTTCTAAGGGAATTACATCTCAACACTCCCTTAACAGTGTATATAATCTTGTGGCTTTTATTTTACAAATTGAACAAAATGTAATTAATTGAAGTTATCCCAAATCTTCAATGAATCAAGTGATTGCTACCCGTTGGGTCTTTCACAACAAGTTGTACGAAGATGGCAATATTTTAAGAAAAAAGCCAATCTCGTTGTGAAAGATTACAATCAATACGAAGGGATTGATTTCAATTAAACGTGTGCCCTTATAGTTAGACTAGAAGCCATATGGATATTTATAGATTTCTCATGCATTATATTTTCTTAAATTCTTACAAATAGGTGTAAAGAGTGTATTTTTTTAAAGTTACATTCAAAAGGAAATGCATCTTGATCCTCCTCCGGATTTCATGAAACTTTTCTTTTTCATGTTTTCAAAAAATGAAAAGGCTTTCTACGATCTAAAACAAGCTCTTAGAGCCTTGTTTGATAGTCTGGGCAACTTTCTACTTGAAAACAAGTTACTAAGAAGGAAGGATGCTACAACTTTTTCAAACCGAGCATATTTTTTCTTGTGCATGTTTTGTCGATTTGGTGCTACTAAAGAATCCTTGTACAAGAAAGTTTATGGTATGATGCATATTTAAATTGATAGATGGAAAAGGTTCGACATTATCTTGGGTTACAAATTAATCGATGATAGGAAGGATTCCTCAAACATATTCACCTAAAGAATATAGAAATAAATATACACCAACAAAGACGGAAAATGAATGTTTTGCAGCTTTTAAGGAGTTTTCCTTGCAAATTAATAAAGTTGTGAAAAACATGTGTATATCTTGGGGGTACAAAAAAATATGCTAATATTGATGGTATCGATCAACAAGTATGATCATGGAATCTCTTAGAAGGTGATAAATTTGTAATGGATTTATTAGTCCTATAATTGGACCAACTCTTGCATCAAATGATTTGTAGAGTAGGAAAATCGGCAGTGGTTTTTTGTTCCCTTAAAATGGGAGTTTTCTCAAATTATATTGAGGTTTTGAAGTAGTACACTTAATAGAGATTTAAAAAATAATAATTGACCCTCTAATAAGTGATTTATTAGTTACATAGTCAATTTATTTTGGTGACGAAATGACATGGTGGTGTAAACAGGAACCAAAATGAAAGAAAATTTTCATTCTTAAGCAAATGTCTTAAAGCATAAAAAAGCTTCATAATGAAACTACACCCGCGGAATAAGTATCACTTAGTTTTGATTATATTTCACACGATTTGAAGCTCCAAAAAAGATGGCATTTTCAGCCAGCCATGAAAACCCTGTATAATAAGTATCACTTAGTTTTGATTATAGTTCACACTAGAATGTATAAACTTTTCTCTTCAATTGTGTATGAGAGAGAGAGAGAGTGGTGACGTCACGCTTATCTAGAGCCACATGCTGCATTAATTGTGAAATGATGACTAGTTAGGGCTAGGCCTCATGATAGCGCTGCAGTTTCCCACACTTCCTGTACGTGAGCATATGACCAGCCTTGGCTCTATAAGTAAGAGTTGAGTGAAACATTTGTCATTTTTCACAAACTTTCGTTCGTCGCTCTCTTTGCTCTTCGTTCAACCGTTGTCGTCACCACCGTATACTGCTGTCACCGAGACCGTTACTAGTCGTCGTTTTCAGCCAACCATGAGAACCATGTGGAATAAGTATCACTTAGTTTTAATTATAGTTTTAATTATAGGTATCACTTAATTTTCATGAGAAAGAGAGAGAGAGATTGAGCGAGTGATGAAGAAGAACAGACTAAAGTGAATAAGTGATTAACATAATAAAGGAAAGTTGTTTTCCTACGCTCTTGCAAATAGTCTCATATCCCAACCAACTCAATCCAAACAAACCCACGTCCCAAATAAGCTAAAGTTGTTTACTGCAAATTTGGGAACTTCCGGTAGTTGTCTAAAAAGGCTTTTTCCCTTCTCAACTTATCGTGTTGGCTCAGACATTTACCGAAAAGGATAAGGCCACTGACCTACATTCATGATAAAAGAAATATTCTGGTTTTCATTTTCTTAATCTAGATAATACAGCCGTAACAACTTTTATAATCTAATTGACAACCTTTTTCATTCAGCACAATTTACAGCGGAATTTTCATTTCATAAAGACAAAAATCTCCATTTCCTATCTGTAGACATATAGAGGTAAAAAAAACTGCTTTGATTACGATTCTAAAATTGCAATATCTTTTTATCAATAAAATTGATTCCTTAAATTCCCGACATGAATCTAGATATTCTTTTGGAAGATTAAGATTGTTTTGTTGACTTGTTTTTAAAGTTTGATACAACATTAACTAGTATGTTAACCCATTTGCACATCACAATTGTAAGACAGTATTGTAAAATTATATTTGTTTATAGCATAATTTACTCTTATGAAGGTACTTAATTTATTATAAAAGTTATTACTGAGAGTACATAGCAGTATTGATATGCTACTTTACCACTACTAATGTGTCAATGCAATTTTTATTATCAATGGCGTGCAAAGGCACATCTTCCTGTACCAATTGTTATTCTAGCAGAACTTTTATAGCATAATTGTTATTGTGATCATAACAGAATTTTTATAGCAGAATTTTTACAGCAGATTAATTTTAATTGTAGAAATAACACAGTTGACAACAAAACAAAGCACAGGTAATTGGTTCATTTGCATGATTTTAATGGCAAAACAAAATCGAAACACCTCTTCCAGAAACAAAACTGTAGAAACTTAAATTATGCAGAACCTCAGAATTACAGCTTAAATTGACACAATCTTTTTTCTGATTACAGTTTCAAATTGAATTATAAAGCTGATTACAACACCACTAAAATGTCACAATCTTTTTTCTGATTAGTCTCAAATCTAATTCAACCATTTTGTCAAAAATTACTAACATGTTACTCCCAATGAAAAGGGGTCAACAGATTTGTTCACCCAATATAAACTTAATTGCACTTGTAATACCATTCCAATTTTATACATTTTACATTTTCGATGCAGCAGAGGAAATAATCATAATCAGAGCATAAGTTTCAGAAAAGTTTACACGAATTTGTCTTATTATAATTTTACACATTATAATTCCAAAACATGATAGTCTAAAGATTGGAATAAAAATGTATAATTTTTGGAGGTAAATGAGCCATATTGAAATAGATAACAATCTAGATTCATTAACAACAAAACAGCAGAACGCAAATGAAGATACTGGGCATAAGTGTATAACAAAAATATTAATCACAAAATGCCCAACAGGATATAAAGATTGGTGCAAATGAAGATAAGTGTATTTATCTAAGTGCATTCATTTTATCCCGCAGGTAGTAGAGCTTGGCTCTTCTCACTTTCTTCTTGTCCAGCACCTTTATCTCCTTTATATTAGGCGAATACCTGTCACATGGATGACATGGCTCAGGAATTAACCCATAAGTAATATGACTTCAAGCGCAATCCACTTTAAATTATAAGATCAATACATAAAACACATTGAACTAGATTCTATGCACACACGACACATTAAATCATATTGTAAATATGAAATATTTACCTATAATAACATAAGGTGTGTTTTTCAAATTAGCTTTCGGGGAAACCAAAATGCTTAAAAAGAGCATATACAATGAGCTCGAAACTAGAATTTACATAATTATTATCACAGCACAACATCATAAGGTTCAGGGATGCCGTTCCTTAAATTCTCTTTTTCGGGAGGCAAGTGACACAATTAAGACATTTCCTAATTTGACTACACCTTTCTTAAAAGCCGACACATAGAAACATGATTCACATGATTATGTTTTACCAGTTCAAAATAGCATGTATACAAGTAGGATTAAGAAATGTTAGCTCAGTTCTAAAAAACTCCAGCAAAGGTGCAGTCATTGTTTTCCATGGCGGATGGCGGTCCACGCGGAGAGCCAAAATCCAGCCATACCGGGCTCTTTGTGACACCGTTATAGCGGAAAACCAGCAATGTCGGCCAATATTTACCATTGCGGCGAGCCCAGGAACCGCCATGCATATCCACTATATCGCTTCCACAGCGGATGTTGGATTCTACAAGGTTCAGTTTAGGAAAGGGTAGGGTGTATGGTGGATCTATTACTTTTCCTGGGAAGAGGCTGGTTTTCAAGTCTACAAGCAGATATATAAAAAATATGGAAGGTAATACTTACAATGGGAATAAAGACTCAATCCCAACTCCAGCTACCATCCTTCTAATTCTGAATGTAGTATTGAGTCCAGCATTACGCCTTGCAATAACAATCCCTTTTATAATAGAAATGCGCCTCTTGTTCTCTGGCACTTCCTACCATATCAAACATAATAAAAGTTTGTATCATTCTCATAAACACAAAGCACAAGTACCGATATATCTTCGGAAACAAACTCTCTTACCACTTTGAGCTGCACAATATAACCAGGTTTTATATCAGGCATCTCTCGTTGTCCTTTCACCTCCTCCACTGCTTCCTTGTCTAAAATCTAAAGGATATAAATAAATACCAACAATTTTTACAAATGATTAAACAAAACAAAAAAAATCCCTTTATTAAATAAATCAAAGGGAAGTTGCATGCCTGCATAATGTGCCTTGCAGTCTTATCTAATCTTTTAAATTTGATGCGACGAGGCACTTCAGATTCTAGTGAAGAACTATCTTGAGAAGAAGAATCAAGAGAATTCGTCTCGGTAGACATAAACCTAGTTCGGAAATGAGGGACAAGCATAGAACCATGCTGAACTGAAGGCAATCTAGTCAATCCATTACCAAACTCAACTCTCAATAATGCATTAGTTTGAGAAAACACTGGAACCTACACAAGAAAATATAAGCACCTATATAGGTGGATTATAAATTAATAAAAACAGTATTTCGTAAACAAATGCCACATAATATAAAATGGAAATTAAGCTTAAAAAAATACCAATTAAAGTGGATCAATAAATATTCAGAGAATTGGTAGCACTATGCAAACTCCAATAAACAATGAAGCAAAGTTGTACAGATAATCAAAATGTCTCGTGTATACTCTGCTTTCATAGATGTCCACTTGCAACTAAAAGTGAATGCATGAAATGTAAACAGACAGGCCCAAACGTTACTTTCAACGTATACAACAATTTGACAACAAAATGCAACATATATAGTCAGATATAATTGATCCAAAATTCAGATCTAGCAATCCGTTAAACCATACAAAGTAAAAAATAATAAGAAACTGCAACAAACGAATGAAAATCGAAACAATGCAAAGCTAAACGATTGGATATTTACACTGATCAGTTTTATGGAGTGAGAAGCGGCAGCAGCTGCGGCGGAAGTGGCGTAATCGGCTACGCGGTTAAGAAGGTAGCCGCAAGGAGAGGCACGGGATTGAGAAGTGAGCCTCGAAGTTGAGGCGGAGATTGAGGAAGATCGAATCAGAGAAGATACGAGTCTGCGTGAAGCCATCTTCAGAGAGAGAAAGGAGATTACTAGGGTTTGTGGAGTGAGCCACTGCACACTATAGTATAAAATATCATTTAGTATATATAATTAAAAATATTGCATATCTGAATTTTGTGACAATTACTAAATTATCCAAATAAAAAAACCAAATCATTTAGTTCCATGTAGGGGTGATAGGTTTGTAGAAAACCGTTTGTGACCGACCAGCCCGCGGTACCAACATGTCAGCGATCGGGTCAAATTTGGGTATTCGGGTCATATGGGTGTTGCACCCGATTTAAGTGGTTGCTTGCGGTTTGGGTCGGTTGGGTTTGTTCAATCCAAGAAAAATTGAACCTGACCCGCTTAATAATTATTTTCATTGTTTTATTTTATATTGTTGCCTCCTAAATTCGATACCTACTATATACTAGTCCTTTAGATCAAAAATGGAATAAATAAAACCAAGTTGAAGATTACTTCGACGTGTGAAGTAACTTAGAGAAAATATCTAGGTCACATGTTAGTCTTCGACCAAGACTCACTATCAAGATTTCGACTGAGAAGGTCTTATGACCTTCGACTAGAAGAAAATACCTCTGCATCAACATCAAAGGCGGGGGACATTTGAATTTGAATTATTGGAGGGAAAGACGGATTTCGCCAGCAGTTAAAGGCAGGCAACGTGGCTGGAAGCTAGAGGTCGAGGGACATGCAGAGGACACTAGTCCTCATCTTAGAGCAGAACCACCCCTCGACGGTTATATAGATTTAATATAAAATGGAAAATCTGTGTAGTTTTCTGTGTGTTCAACCTATTGTGCTAGTTACTCAAATATTGTCCAAGTACCTGCTGTGTGAGAAAGGATAAACTGAGAAATGTACGTTGGAAACACCACGTTTCATTAATAAAGTCTTTTTACATTGTTTTAATCTTATTTTACACAGTTACTTTCTTGCATCTTTACTTGCATTTCTATTGACTTTCTTACTTTCCAAAACTCCAAGTATCTTGCCTTGGTCGAACGTGCGTTCTTCCTGGATTTCCTTTTTATTTTACATCAACCCAGTATAAAAGTTAGCATATGTTCTGAGATCAATTTGATTGATCCCGCGAGTAACCAAAAGGATTTTCCTTTTGGAGGATCAGCGGTTGTTTACCAAAAACCACGGTAAACAAATTGGCACACCCGGTGGGACGTTGCTAATTTTTATTAAAAATATTTTGTTCATGTTATCGCTTTTCTTTTTACACATTTATAACGTTGCATATTATTAAGAAGTTGTAGAATACCCAACGAGTGTATTGTTAGGAAGAAAAATAGCGAGAGTAGCATGGCTAACGAGTCAAATCATGGAGAAATACCTCTGCCAAATACTACTGAAACAGCGGTTATTACCACCGTCAGAGAAAATATCTCAACTTTCGTTGGCTCAATACCAACACTAACCACGAATCAAACGGGACCCTTATTTTCGTATGTGGGTCCAAGAGGTCCATTAGGAACGCCCCCACCAAGGACAAATCCAGGATCTCGACCGTTCGTACCCCAGGATTTTCGACAGCCTGGATGGGTCGATAACAGCCATATGGCATGCCAACCACTGAAATGGCTAGCCTTATGAACGCTGCTTCTACTTTTTCAGAACCTTTGGCGAGTGCATCATCGCCATTGCAGGGATCTGGAGCCAGTATGGCAAATTTGGGTAGAAACCAACTTTTGGGAGGGCCATCTCATACAATACCAAGCCTCACAAATGCTTCTACAATAATTTTGAGGCAACAGATGGACGAAAGCAATCATGATACGGTGCAGATGTTGGCACAAACTCTAAGTACAGTGCTAAACCCCCCATTCAAAATACTACTCAGTCGAACCAACAAATGACAGCGCAAATGACGCACATGGCTGAATTCTTTGGGGTGCCCCAAACTATTCGACAACCCCAAAGAATACCAATAAGAGTAAACCAAGGGGTAATCATGGAAGAAGATTTGACCGTTAATCAAAATCCTCAGATCCCTAGGGTAGAAATGGAACAACCTAGGGTCCAAATTCCTCGAAATCCCTCACCAATCCCTAGAGAAATTGATCAAGGAGTGATTATGGTTAATAGAAACCAAAATGCTGATGAATTGATACAGCAAGTTCGACACCAAAATTATGGAACAGACAATAATTTGAATGCCATGATCGAAAGGGTTATGATTCAGAATGGGATGAACGTTGGTTTTCACAGACCAAACTTCACATCCCCATTGTCAGAATACATTCTGCAAACAGACTTACCCCATAGGGGAAAGGTTCCCAAGTTTACCAAATTTTCAGGGGATACGACAGAATTTACTGTCGAACATGTGGCTAGATATTTGATAGAGGATGGGGAAATAGCGAACAACGAAAACCTTAGGATCAAATATTTCCCAAGTTCCCTAACAAAGAATGCTTTCACTTGGTTCACTACCCTCCCATCCAATTCGATCCACAATTGGAAAGATTGTTCCATGAACAATTTTACATGGGACAGACCAAAATAAGTCTAAAAGAATTGGCTAGTGTGAAGAGAAGATTCACTGAGCCAATTGATGAGTATCTAAATAGGTTTCGATTACTTAAAGCCAGATGCTTTACCCAAGTGCCTGAGCATGAATTGGTCGAAATGGTAGCGGGGGGCCTGGATTATTCAATTAGGAAAAAGTTAGATACTCAATACCTGAGAGACATGGCCCAAATGACTGATAGAGTTCGACAGGTAGAACGCCTTAAAGCTGAAAAAGATAGAGCTACCAAAACTCATTGAAGAGAAAGAGTGGCCTATGTCGAAATGGATGATGACGATCCAGAGACATATAGTGATCCTATAGATGTCGAAGAAGGCGAGATAGATTTAGCAGAATTAAAACAAGGACCACCATATTCTTGTAAATTGCTAGTACCATCAAATGAGAAAAATCTTGTAGAGCCTGAGAAAAATAGCGACAAATTCCCTAAGAAAACTTATAGTTTCGACATATCCAAATGTGATGAAATATTCGATCTATTAGTTAAAGATGGCCAAATGATAGTGCCCCCAGGGGCGAAATTGCCTCATTTAGAACAAAGAAAGAAAATAGGTTTTTGTAAATACCATAATTTTTTGGGCCGTAAAACCTCACAACGTTTCCTTTTCAGGGATCTTGTTCAACAAGCGCTTAAAGAAGGAAGGCTAAAATTCGTTGATAAGCCAGCGATGAAAATCGATACAAACCCGCTGCAGATGGAGGCGCACAATGCTGAGCCAGTCGGTATTCACATGGTGGAAGTTTCATAAGACTTTATTACTAAGCCCATCTTTAGAAGTTTTACTGGAAACATATCCAAGAAAACTATCGAAGGAGTGAGAAAGGCCACTGAAGGCCCAGATCTGAACAAAGGAGTTGCCAAAGGCTCAAACAAAAAGGCCACTGAGGGCCTGAAGCTGAATAAAAGGGTTATTGAAGACCCACACAAAAACAAAGGGGTTGCTGAGAGCTCCAACAAAAGAACCACCACAAGTTCTTACTTGGCTGCTGTGAAAGGTTCGACAGAGAACTTAGAGGCCAAAATGCAGGAAATGAACCTCGTTTCCAAGAGCAACGTGGAGGTCAACATGGTCGAAGTCTCTAACGCCAAGGCTTCAAAAGAGGCTATTCGATAGGAGGAAGTGAATAAAATGGAATTTCCAAAGGAGAACGAAGATCTGGCAGACTTTCTACACAGATGCCAGAAGAAAAAATCGGAAGTGATGTTGTGCCCTAGATGCAGCTCTATTTTCGACAGGAAAGCCGCAAAACATATATAAGGTATGAGAATTGTGAAAGCAAAACAGGGTACCAATGCCCAACCAAAAATGGGTCCAGAAGTCAGATTCGATCCCAGAAGGAGGCATCAACAAGGATCCATGAGTCAAGTAAAGAGGCCACCAACGTTTTGGCCTCTAACTAATGTACCTATAGATACTTGGCTTAACACCATGGGCAGAAAGAGGCCTAATGAAGAGAGATGACAGGCGTTCGATGTGCCAAGAGGTTCCTCTTTGGACTACAGAAAGGAGTACCATGCCTCTACATCAAATAAAATGGCTCATATATCGAGCAATTACAAAGAGAAAACCCCTATGTCTTGTTCGCAATGGAGGAGATTCCAAAGACGACGAAAAGCCGAAAAAAGAGGCAGCAGAGCCTCACCCAGAGGTTAGCACCAATATACGAAGAAGACAAAGGAAACTTCTAGCATGTCCGGAAGAATGTGGGTCGAATGATGAGGGTGACTCCGACGACACTTTAGACATCATGGTGAATGTCATATCGGTGCTACCTAAAGAATACAACCGTCAGGTCAAAGTTGAGGAAACTGACTTGATGGTCGAACAAGAGATGGCCAGACACAGGCCAATGTGTTACTATGTAATGAATAATGGCTGCGTGGAAGAACATAACGCTTTCTTCTAGCCACCAACAGAGGCGATGAAAAATCACCTAAAACCCCTATTCATCAGAGCGAAGATAGGGGAGGTGACTATAAACAAAATCCTGGTCGATTGTGGGGCGACTATAAACATAATTCCACAATTCATATTGGGAAAACTAGGAAAGGGAGATGCTGACATCAAACCCCATAACATGGTCCTGTCCAATTATGAAGGAGGCATTGGAACTACAATGGGCGTCTTACAACTAGATCTCAAAGTGGGATCAATTCTTCGACCCACCATGTTCATGGTGATCGCAGCAAAATCAAATTATAATCTGCTATTGGGTCGAGAGTGGATACATGACATCAGTGTAGTGCATCCTCGATGCATCAAAGGGTCATGATATGGCATCCTGATGGTATCATGGAAAACATTGAGGCAGATCAAAGCTATTACTTAGGCGAAATCAAACAGCGTCAGAAAGAATAGTTTCGATAGAAATTTGGCTCATATAAGGCCATGTAACCCCCCTGAGTTCGATCTGACTCCAGCACCTAACGCCTTCTTCTCTTTGTATTTACACTCTGACT